GCCAGTAATTTACTGTAAAATATACAGGAAATTTTTAACAGTGTATACTACATAACTTCCTACAACAAAGAAATTTCAAGGTCAGTTGTGTAATTAAAGTTTTGAAAATGTAGCCTAAACAATGTTAAGTATTACCATGTCTACTGTTGGAGAACTAGCCATGCTCTCATCTGGTGTTTGTTCTGACCAACAGCCTGGCAAAGATGTTTCCAATTTCTGTAGATATTGCTTCATAGATTTCATGAAGGATGGCAGTTCTGGGGAAAATAAAGTATTTACCACTATCTCTGCATGTAATGAATCATAAAATCTAAAGTCAAACCTTTAAGTGCTAAAACTGTCTATTTGTATTACCTTTAAGCGCTTGAACAGTCTCCTCATCAAGCTCTACTATGCAAGGTTTTGATATTTTTCTTGCCCTTACATTTTCTATATCAGTATCTGAATCACTCTCCATCTGTAAATTCAGCATAATTAGCACAATACAAAATGAGTTAAAGAAGTCATACTGTCTTTAAAATGCATGGAAACTCAGAAAGTAATTGTAACAATGTGAATGCACCATTACATCTCTGATTATACGCCTTGTCATGAACACATTATGAATCTGGGAAATTGTTATTAATATTTTACTGCATTGTTTGAAGAATTTTATTTTACTCAAAGTAAGGTTTTGTACATAGTTTTAAAGAATGTCCCTGTGTACCACAGAAAATAAAAAGAAAACTAACACTAAAATAAAGTCATGTTTACATGTCAAAGAGAATCATTTTACTAACCAATGTTGTCTTTCCCCTGTCTGTGTCTTCATAAAAAAGTGGCTCAGAAAAGCCCCTATCAACAACCTGAAGAGACAACATATAAACACATTTCATGTGTTTGATTTTATTAACAGTTGTCAGAAAACTATGAGAAGGTAGCTGATAAAGATAGACTAGACAGCAATTTCACATTATGTCATACCTGAGTATTTGTTACACTTTATTCAGAATCTTCCTCAGAATCTTCCATATCAAGGATTATAGGAGTCTTCTTTGTGGTCCTTTTATGTATATCTTTTTTCAATTTTTCTCCCATTTTGAAGGCACTCTCCTGGAGAAATCGTCTGTCAGACTTAAGAAGAAAACACAAAATTAGCACATGCAAAAGGCTGATTTATCCATTTGTTTTGTCACTTGCTACAATGCACTATTCTCATCA